TCTTTTCAGTCATCCATTTATTCATTAAAAGACAAAATAATTTTTGTCATAAACTTATTATCGATTTCTGTCTATAATATAATAATAACAGCTATTAGTTTATGTCATATAGTGGGAGACAAAAAAAATTGCAAAATACATATAAATCTTATAATAAAAGCATAAATTATGAAAACTAAGTCTGAAATACAATCAGATATACAATATAACACTACATTAAATGGCAGTGAATTTAATTGAATATATCAGCGAGAAAATGGTATTTAATTATTCATTGGGAGGTTTACAATGGCATTACTTTTTTTAGATAGTGTTTAGTGAATAGTGTACAGAGTTTTTCAATATAGTTAATTAATTTGAGTTTTTAATGAATTTCTTGAGAGAGAGAGAGAGAGAGAGAGAGAGAGAAATAGTGTGATAAATGTTTCCTAAAATAATTAATACAACAAAACTTATGAAATATTTATAAAAAACAAGTAATGAAAAAAATTTGAAAAGTATTTTCTCATACAAAAATAATTATTGAATATAATAGAAATAAAAAATTTTGAAATAAAAATGCTGTATTTGTTATACAACGACAAGTACTCAACAAAAGTATACTTTAAAAACCAACAAAAAATTGATACTTCACTGGTAAGTAAAAAATAAGTAAAAAACACTTAAATCATAACAATATAATATAAATTGAAAGTGGCAATTTATATATAAAAAATATTGTGTTTTGACACATGGAGTGTCGCACCCGATAAGGGCACCGGGATTTAAAAAAGGTGAGAGTAAATCACGATAATAGTCCTTCAAGTAATAGCAAAGTATCATCCACAACATATTTCCTACAGTCTGTTACCACAATAAATCAAAAAATTAAATTCAAACCTTAAAGTATAAAATATTACACCCTATGCCTCCCATTCCTATCACTTCATACACAAAATATAAAACATCAGGGATACTCATAATCAAGTAAATATGCATGTTAGCATGAATGGTAGATATAGTCTACTGCAAAAAATAAATTATTTTTAGAAATAGTGTATTTACATTTTGGTTGTATATGAAATATGTTTAATTTATGCTTAATTTAATTGGATTACAATATGACCAGGGTACGAACCGTTGCTGAGAAGTGCGAAAAAGGCTTTTTTCACGACAAGCTGCGTGTCGAAGACGACTAATTTGGCACTGACCGGGATCAGGTCGTAACAGCGATAAAATTTGAAAAATTTCACATAAATTAGGTTTTCATTATCTGTAAGGCAATACACACAAAAATGTCAATTAGTTAAATGTCATACAATCTTAATGTGGAAATCTATTTTAAAATATATCCATTAACTCTCGATATGCAATATAAAAGACAATTTATGAATATATCCAATATATTGTATAATACAGTATACTGGCCAATAAAGTAATATAATATTGCTACCTAGATGTGCTATTGAATGATTTTATTCATTCACTAATACATACATTTATTGTGTAATAAATAATTGTTATTCAAAATCAGTGGTACGTTCAATGTATGTAAAATAAGTTTTATACATAACTACATAATCTAAAATTAAATTAAAATGTATGCCCAATAATCACTATAAGCAAGTTCATACAGAGTCTAGGCATTCATTTATCCCTTAACTCTACAGAATAATACGATTTAAATGCCATTATATACGGTATAATACTGTATTAAATATCGAGAGTTAGTTGCCATGGATTTGCCGAAGATTAGCAAATAGATAACGAGATGCGAGATAATGAGATAAATTACCGAGATCTTCGAAGTCGAATCTATCACAGATAGGCTCTCCAGAACCGAATAACTAGATCAAATACAAATAGCAAATTAATTCATACATTTATATCGTATATATATATATATAAGTAAAGCTCAATGAATTAGAAAATGATAATGAAAATCAAAACTATAAATAAGTCTAACAATTGTAATATAAGTGCATTTAATTATAAATTGAAATTCAACCCCGTACCAATCAAATGATTATTATGTTTTGATAGTACAATAATAGATAATATGTTATGTATGTTATATTAAATCTATTTTCGTAATATTGATACAAATATACAATGTGTAATAGCCTGTGTAGCGTATTAATAACCATGGCTATTGTATTTCAATCACGCAATTATTCAAATCAATTACATAATAAGAAAATTTAATTTTTTTCATAAATACTATTCTTGAGGCAATTTACTGTATATTTGTGACTAAAAATACATTTAATATATAATTCAATAAATCAATTGAATGGGAAGAAAATTATACACAAATATAATAATAACATAACAAAAACTGAATTCAAAAAATAAATTAAATTTTTTCCTTAAATAAATAAAATATTTTCTTACATCTCGTGAGTAGTGAAACAAAACTCGTAACAAAAATAAGACAAAAAATTTATCTCAAATACACAAAAACTATTAAAAATTACAAAATAAATTTTTATATCAAAAGTAAAAAACAAATTACTATTTTCCGATACATTACACAGAATCTCATTCAATAACATTCTGTGTGTACACCTGCTTATTATCAACAGAATATTCCTTAAACATAGAGAATATTCCGTAGACTGTATGCCATCGGGAAAAATGTAATTAAAACTCGTACACAAATAAATAAATAATTACAAACACACACATGACTATATTACTATATATAATAAACAAAAATTAATAATTCATTAATAAATCCATGAATTCATACCACAGTTGAATGGGTTTTAAGGAATTTTCGCCGCAATTTTCGGACCGCCACTTGCATCGCGGTCATCGGGGCTACCAATATGAATGGGTCGAGTATTTTGGTGTATATATTTATACCGATTTATATATATATGTTTGTATATATAATTATTACCAAAAAATATTATTGTCAACACTAGTAATTATATTAATTTCAATTCTCAAACATGTCGTAAATCTCTCTTGGTAATATCATTTATTTGTGTAATATTTCGCAACAGAATAATAATAATAATAATAATAATAACACTCGGAATCAATACACAGAATATTCTTCAATGCATGGCATTTAGAGTGCGATATATATTCTGTATATTAACAAACGCTTTTCAATACATGTATATAACGATCATATTTATATATATATACTTATTACGAAAAAACCATTTTTGTTGTTATTTTTGTTGTTAACATATGAGTGGGGAGAGTGGGAACAGTATGTAATGTCAGGGAAAGTCAAATGTCTCGGCTCACAATACACATTGAGATTCACACACATAGACACAGAATCACGTGATTATTATTATATTTAGGCGAGACAATGAAAATTATTATCGAGTTACTAATAATAATAATAATAATTCACACGTTGTTGTATACAATGAGTGACACATTTTGTTTGGCAATTAATTCACTATCATGATTATATATTCACTCGCTCAATTATATTCATATCATTATATTACGCGATTGTAATCCGGGAGAAATGTGAATATCATAGGAGTTGAAAATATTTATATATACATGTATATAAAATTTAAATATATATATATATTAATTCTTACTCTCACACAATTCTGCCTGTTTAGAAAATATTTTTGCACACAATTTCATAACACATAACACATTGTTAGCCAATAAAACAGGTATTCATTTCAATAGCCAGTCGTGGAGTGTGGAGTGGTAGCGAAAAACCCGTTCAATACAATCGCATATATAGTGAGAAAATTGTATTATAAATACAAATATATACGGATAGGAAAGGCATATTTATCGCGAGGAGATGCCTACCCTAGCAGTCACGTACGTATGAGAGTACCCTCACAGACACACAACACACCACTCACTCCCTCAGCCGTACAGCACCGACACCAACAACGGCTGACACAATATACTTGTATATAATTATTGCTAAAATGTATTGAAGTGACGGTTAGAGTGTGAGGGGAACGGGAGATGAGAGTGAGAGAGAGAGAGAGAGAGAGAGAGAGAGACGACTGAATCGACTACTATGTGGTACGGTATGTATGGTGTGCGAGAGTGAGTGAGTGAGTCGTTTGTAAACTACATAAGCGACTCCTCATATCTAAAGGCACCACCACTACCACCAGCACCAGTACCACCGATAACAGCAAACAAACACCAGTTCCCCACTCGCGAAACTACTAGTCCTTTAGCTATCATTGTATGAAATGCAATGTTTTGCTTGAATACCGTGTATATAATAATTGGGTATTTAATATTGGATATGAGATACACATTCACAGCAATTACCAGAAAACGACAATTTATTGTATATTTTATTTAATTAACTCGTATAATGGAGTTATAAGTAACACATAAAAAACTAGTAGATTTTGTTTTGTTAGACACAGTGCCAGACATCCCTTTCCACACATTTCTAGAATATATATAAGTCTTGGTTTACATAGCGTTAGAAATATATAATAAATTCTGTTTTCGGTGGCAAAACGGCACCAAAATATTCAACACAAAAAAGCTAAACACAATAAATATGGTATTTATACATAACATACGATAGTGTCGTATATATAAAATATATTTTTATTCACACAACATATCCTAAGCCTTCAAATGTCTTCGCAAAAAGGATTGGCTCCCAGAATATACAGTATATATAGCTCTCTCTCTCTCTCTCTCTCTCTCCTCGAGAATACATTATAAACACATATTCTATGTGTAAATGTAATATGAAATCCATGGGTATAAGTGTAGTCAGAAAAAAGGCTAATAAATAAAACAAAAATTTATTTTACTGTCATTTTGAAAATGTGAATATAAAATGTGTTTTTCATACGTAAACCCTTTTTTAAAAAAAATGAATATTTAATCAATGCTAATTATCGGCGACAATTTTATGCATGTATTTTTTTGTTCACTACTGTATATCCAGTTGTTTGTATTGATCTACATTTTACGCGTAGAAATCAATACATACCGTACTATAAGGGCTGGTATCCAATGAAACATAAAGTGATGCATTACTGTCAGAGTGTGAGAGACAATCATTGTATGCAAAATGGGTGCAAAAAATAAACAACTTTTTTTGTCAGTGTATATGAAAAATAAACTGATCAATGAGATATCGGCTAACATACCAGTCCTGTGTGTGTTTGTCTAAATACTGTCTATTACATAACGCAGTGTTAGGTATAGTCTCATTGTCACACAGCACCTACAGGTCCCTATCGGTGTGTAATCGTAATTATATTCCCGTATATTCTTATATAACTTGTATATAAACACCTTAACTGTCAGTCTTAAAGGGGAAGGTATGTATAGTTTTATGGTCCAAACAATTTTTTGGAGGACAGGGAGGAGTGAATTGAAGTGAAGTGCCAGTGCTTAGGATAGTGAGCGCACCAGACGTTTCTCAATTCATACACTAACTGTGAC